CCCAAACCAACCGCGGCCGCTGTTGGGCAGGCGGCCTTCCGTCTCAAATGGGCACAGGCCGCGGCGGCGCGGACAGCGAGCCCTGTTCAGAGTGGACAGGAACTGCTGTTGGGCATCGTACCCATTCTTCCGGTACCCATTTCGTTCGTGCAAGCACCGGGTTGTTGTCTTCCCCCCCACTTCCCATATATTTCCCCATCTTTCCCTGGAAGTCGACGATTCATTGTGTCTGTGTGCTTCTGTCCCTCCCGAGATGTGAGGCCTCTCCTTCTGCCCCCCCCTCTTCGTGAATTCAGGCTCTGCGCGGCCCGCTTGGCTTCGAGCGGCAGAGGTGCGCTCTCTCGACCCGCGAATGAAAAATGCCTTCCCTCCCGAGGTGTGGTGCCAGCGCCGGGGCGTCAGCCCCGGGCCCGCCCCGCGCGAGGCGAGCCGTGCGCTCTCGCAGGCCGCCCGGTGCAGGCCACGTGCCGCAGCCTGCGCGGGGCCCCGCCCGCGCGGGCACGCCCGGCGCCCACGGAGAGGCCACGCACGGGCACCGGGCGAGACCAGAGGAGCCCAGGGACGCACAAATCAATATACACACATTCATAACAGGATTCCCCATGTTTTCCCATATAGATGCTGGGTCTTTGTCTTCCCCCCCACTTCCCATACATTTTCCCATCTTTCCCATATATACGCACGGGCACCGGGCTTCTGCTGCTCCCATCGTACTTGGAGGGTTGGAGGTCGCTTGGGGGGCAGCGTTGTGTCCAGGGCCAGATCCCAATGCGCTCCGCCGGCGCGCTGGATCCGTCAAGAGCAATCCTCACGACACCCACTCGCGACAAGTTCGGACCTCAGGTTTGCTCTTACTGACGATTGGGCTGATCAGGCTTGCTCTTGCCCTACGAGCACTGCCTCCTCCTCCGCCGCCCCAGAAACACAGATCGCGTTCGCTGCCCCTCAGCGAGCTGAAACTTGAGGACCACATCCCAGGAATAATTTCGAGCACCCAGAAGGAGTGTCGAAAGAGTGTCGAAACAGTGTCGGACGAGTAACTCCCAGGGCCCGACGCGTGAAAGCCTTCGCGTTTCGGTACTGCTTCTGGTGCTCGAAATTCTTTCTGGCGATCAGGGCTAAAGTGCTGAGCATGTTCTTAGGGTGGAGGACTCAGGGTGAAATCCAGATGGGCTTTTGCACCTCGACAAAATCAACCCGTCTTGTGATTCACCCTTTGCAATTTCAAGCCTCGAGAACCAATCGAAACGGCATTTCAGACTTCACCCTTTGCCCTCCACCCCAAGAAAAATGCTAGGGAAGTAGGTTGGAGCATCATACAGTCGAGGCGTTGACCTAAGGAACCCCAAATACGGAACGAGGCCCCCATGTTCCACAAGCTGAACTTCGACTTCGTGTCGAAAACCTGGGGAAGATCCCAGGCAAGCTGCGAAACACCTAAGGAAGACGGAGCCCCTCCCCAACCAAAAGGGTCCCTTCTTCAGGGCCCCGACTGTAGACAAAGGTGCAATCGTACTTGAGAAGGCGACCCATCTCTATCACTGGCTTCGACTGCAGTGGGCCTCGAAGCATGCGCGCCGATTCCGGGAGTGCAACGGCGCAAACGTACCTCACAGCACGCGAGCCCCTCCCCAACGAGAAGGGACCCTCCCCAACGAAAAGGGCTCCTTCGTCAGGGCCCCGACTGTCAGCCCCGGCGAGACCGCTGCACCTCCCTCCCCCCCCCACCTCCGCGCACCGGGCGCCCACGAGGCGCCCGCCCACGGGGGGGGGCGCTGTGGGCGACGACGCCCTGAGCCGGGCGTGGTCCTCTGAAGGGAGGCGCACCCAGAAAGCAACATCCAGACGCAGTTGGGGGCTCAGCTAAAACGACGCGAGGATCGGGACAAAATGGGATCGGGATAACTCGAAATCTCTGAGAATCGGCGGGTTTGGAGGATGTATTGGGCGCCGCGGCCGCTCCAGAGCGTTCCGGAACGCTCTGAGAGCGCTCCGGAACGCTCTGGAGCGATTTATCCCGATCCTAGCCCTGCTTTATTAGTGGGCCCTGGAAACGACAGGGCTGTTTTTTTACCGGTTCCGTTTTGCCGTTTTTGTTGCCGGTCCCGACGCCGTTGTGTTTTACCGGTTCCATCGCCGTTGTTTGACCGGTTCGGGCTCCGGTTCCAGTCCTGGAGCCGTTCTTGTTGCCGTTTCTGGTCGCCGCGTTTTGCCGTTTCCATTTTCAAGAGGCATTTTTTTGGAAACGGTGAAAAAAACGGCCCTGCCGTTTCCAGGGCCCACAAAGGTCGGGGGGCGCTGCTTCGATGGCTTTTTGGGCATCTTTTTTGGACGCCCGAAATGGGCACGGAAAGGATGGGCACAGTGCCCAACAGCAAATGCTGTCCCGAACCATCAGCGGCCGCTGTTGGTCAGGCGGCCTTCTGTCTCAAAGGGACACAGGCCGCGGCGGTGCGGACAGCGACTCCTGTGTAAAATGAACAGAAACTGCTGTCGGCCTTTGTACCCATTCTTTCCGTGCCCGTGTGGGTCGTCCCGAATTGTTTAATATTCTCTGAATGTTCTTCACCTTTCCCTGGGACTCCTCTTGCCGTGGGCTCCAGCCAAGCCGACCTTGAGCAACCTCGTAATTGAGTCGAAGGGAAGCCCCTTCCCTTTGATCCCTCCCCCGCCGGGAGGGGGGGGGGGGTAGCGACCCCCCCCCTGGGTCAGATACGACGCCCCCCCCTGGGACTCCTCTTCCCCTGGGCTCCAGCCAAGCCGACCTTGAGCAACCTCGTAATCTCTTGCTGCGCATTGCGAACAGGGTCGGCGGCACCGGCCGTCAGGCCTTCGCAATATTCTCTGAATGTTCCTCACCTTTCGTCCATAATCCGCCCGCAGGAGGACATGCCCGAGCTGAGCGAAACCTCGACGTGCCCTCCCGACATCACGGGGCGCCCACGAGGCGCCCAGGGGCTGGCACCGTGGCCAAAGATCTCGGCACGCTGATACCTCAAGGGGCCCAGGGGCACGCAGAAAAATAGACACACGTCCCAAGATCCCCTATATATTCAAATATTTTCTGGAATCTCGTCCTCCCCCCCTCCTTTTCGCACTTTTGACTATTCTTGGGGTATCTTGTATTTTCGTCGAAAATCCCCCTGTAGGGGGACACGCCCGACCTAAGCCTATCCCCCCCTATCGTTGCCCCCGAGGTTTATGTTGCTCCCATCCTACTTAAGGACCAGCTCCCAGAAATAATCTCGAGCACCCAGAAAAGTGTCGAAAGAGTGTCGAAAGAGTGTCGAAAGAGGGTCGAAAGAGTGTCTCCCAGGGCCCGACACGTGAAAACCCTCGATGTATGGGGTGCTTGAACTTCCTTCTGGCGATCAAGGCCAAAGTAGGTTGGAACATCATACCCCGAGGTATGGGCACCTCTTCCTCCCTCCTCCTCCTCCTCCTCCTCCTCCTCCTCCTGCTCTTTCCTCCTCCTCCTCCTCCTCCTCCTCCTCCTTCTCCTCCTCTCCCCCCCCTCCTCCTTCCTCCTCCTCCTCCTCCTCCTCCTCCTCCTCCTCCTCCTCCTCCTCCTCCTCCCCCTCCTCCTCCTCCTCCTCCTCCTCCTCCTCCCTCCTCCTCCCTCCTCCTCCTCCTCCTCCTCCTCCTCCTCCTCCTCCTCCTCCTCCTGGCTGACCCCCGTTTGCACGGACCCTCGGCTCGACGGCTCGGCTCGCCTCGGCTCGGCAGGCGCCGCCCCGTCTCCCGGGCGGTGCCTCTGCGACGCGCACCGTCCCTGCCGGTCGGGCACCGTCCCCGTCGGTCGGGCACGTCCTCCTACCGGCGGATTGTTGGTGAAAGCTTGGAATTAAGTCGGGCGTGCTCCCCATACAGGGGGATTTTCGACGAGCAAAAAAATACATCAAAAATGCCCCCAAAAGGTAAATTTTATGTGTGGGGTACTTTTATTTTACTTTTATTTTTGGGGTACTTTTATTTTTCTGCGAAAATCCCCCTGTAGGGGGACACTTCCGACTTAACCCTTCGCCCCGCCCCGCTCCCTGCACCGTCCCTGCCGGTGGGGCACGTCCTCCTACCAGCGGATTGTTGGTGAAAGCTTAGAACGAATCGAACACTATACACCGGCGGATTTAGGGAATCGAGCACTATACACCGACGCTTCTTCCGGCCCTGCATGGGAATCTGCACTGGAGAGCGGATCCTGGTGTATACGGGACCCTGGTGTATACATGTTTGGTAATTTCCCAGGGACATCGGGGAAAAAGTATACACCACACCACTCCAGCGTCGTCCTCGACCCTCAGGAAACCCTGGGATTTGAAAAACAGCCCGCCACTGGTAATGTATATGTTCCAGTTTCCGAGGATTGCTGGTGAAAGCTAAAAAAACACATCGTTTAGACATCGGCAAACATGGTCGCAAAATGATCGACAGCTCGTCCCCATCCTAGGTTTCTTCTGACTACCTTCGAATCTTCCTCCTGTAGGGGAACATGCCCAGCTGAAACCGACTCGCGCGCGACAGGCCCCGCTCAGTGGCAGTCGAACGACCCCTCGCCGATGAACTCCCGGAGGAGCGCAGCGCCAGGAGTGAGGTGCGGCGGCCAGGTGCCGAAGAGGAGGCGGAGGGTCGAGGCAGAGGAGGAACGGCAGCAGAGTGGATCGAGGCTTCCCTCCCGAACCCTTCTCCTCCTCACTCTCACTCCATATCCTCCTGCTCCTCCTGCTCCTCCCCCTCCTCCTCCTCCTCCTCCTCCTCCTCCTCCTCCTCCTCCTCCTCCTCCTCCTCCTCCTCCTCCTCCTCCTCCTCCTCCTCCTCCCCCCCCTCCTCCTCCTCCTCCTCTCTCTCCTCCTCCTCCTCCTCCTCCTCCTCCTCCATACCTTCCCTCCCCTTCCCTCCTCCTCCTCCTCCTCCTCCACCACCTTTTTGCTCCTCCTCCTCCTCCTCCTCCTCCTGCTCCTTCTCCTTTTTCCCATTTCCCGCCTCCTTGAGGATCGATACTTTCAGTACCTGTTCCACCGGCTTCTCCTCTCCGAGGGCTGGATTTCCCTTGAGATTCTGGTCGGACGGCACACCAGGACTGGTCGTGCGGCTGGTGGTCGATGGAGGAGCACGAGGAGGGCGAGGCGGCGGAGTTGAAGGGCGAGGCGGAGCAGGAAAGAAGTAGGGGACCACCTGCGAACCCTACCCCTACCCGCTACGATTTCTGAGGGGGAGGGTGGGGTTCGCTTCGCTCGGGAGCTCCCAAGCGAAATGACCCCACCGAATTTCGGGTTGGGGGGGGGTACGGGTTCCATAATATGTGTTTTCTCATCAATGTTCCCCGACCCCCCCCCACTGGAAGCGGAGGGCAAATCGGGGCCTTCGGGTTGGACTGGGGTGGTCTGGTGGGCGGTGAGAGTTGAGGGGCGAGGCGGAGCAGGACCGAGGAGGAGGAGGAGGAGGAGGAGGAGGAGGAGGAGGAGGAGGAGGAGGAGGAGGAGGAGGAGGAGGAGGAGGAGGAGGGAGGAGGAGGAGGAGGAGGAGGAGGGGAGGAGGAGGGAGGAGGAGGAGGAGGAGGAGGAGGAGGAGGAGGAGGAGGAGGAGGAGGAGGAGGAGGAGGAAAGGACACAGCTGCCGAAGTGCACACGGTCGGAGGTCCGCGCGGAGCGTGCGGGTCGGCGCGGGGCCCCTCCTCTGCTGTGTGGAGCGGAGGCCCCTCGCCGCCCCAAGGGACCTCCGCCGCGCGGGCCACCGGACGTGCACGCCTGTGCCGCTGTGGCCTCGTCATGCAGAAGAGGAGGGCGAGGAGGCGGAGGGCTCGAGGGACGAGGAGGCGGGGAATGGGGAATGGGGAGCAGGAGGAGGAGGAGGAGGAGGAGGAGGAGGAGGAGGAGGAGGAGGAGGAGGAGCTGAAGGAGGAGGAGGAGGAGGAAGAAGAGGAGGAGGAGGAGGAGGAGGGTGAGAGGAACAAATAAGGAGTCGGAGGGGCCGAAGTGGTCGAGCAACTTCACCAACTCCGCCGCCTTGGCGTAATTGGGGTCCTCCGGAGTCACTGCCCTCAGCAGCGGCTCGAGGAAGACCTTCAGGACGGGGATCTCGTACTCGGCGGCCGAGTTCATGACGAAGTCGGCGCCGTTCTGGTGGGGAAAGATCCACACGCCCTCGCCCTTGCGGACGTTGTCCCACATCCTGAGAGTCACCGAGGCCGAGTTCGCGCGGAACAGGTAGTCCCGGCACATGCGCCGCAGGAGGCGGTGGTCCGTCGTCTTGACGCAGTTGCAGTCGTCGAGCTGCAGCGCCGTGCGCGGCGAGATGAAGACCTTGAACACCTTGTTGGGGTCCACCGCCTGCCGCCCGAGGCCAGCCGGCCGCGCGGGAAGGCCACCGCGGGGCCCAAGGCCAGCCGAGCCCCCCTCCCCCCGACGGCCAAGGGCCGACCTCGGAAGGAAAGGAGGACGGAGGGAGGGAGGGAGGGAGGGAGGGAGGGAGGGGGGGGAGGGAGGGAGGGAGGGGGAGGGAGGGAGGGAGGAGGGAGGGAGGGATGGAGGGAGGGAGGGAGGGAGGGAGGGAGGAGGAGGAGGAGGAGGAGGAGGAGGAGGAGGCCCAAGGCCAACCGAGTCGCCGGAGGAGGAGGAGGAGGAGGCCCAGGGCCCTCCCCGCCACCTTCTCCTTGTGGGGAGACGTGGGACTCGGTTTCGGGGGACTCGGGTTGGCCTGACGAGGCCATCATGAAAATGACGAAGCCCAGCCTGAAATTGACGCGAGAGTTCCCGCTGCAGACCTCCCGCGAGAACTGAAGCGTCGAAATCCAGGACGCGCTCCTCAAAAAGCGTCGGCCAACCCGAGTTCCGGCGCACTCGAGTCTGACGCTTGGGTCGGGCATGTCCTCCCACAAGGGGATTTTGAGCGAGAAACCAAACAGTGTCAAACAATACACCCTGCGAAATGCTTAAGAAATCATGGGTTAAGAAATTCATAGTCTCAGAAATTGAATAAAACCCAGAACTCCTATCAAAATCTTGGGATTTACATTGGAACGTTAAGAATAATCGAGACTCTGGCCGAAAACTTTGGTTTTCTTAAGCATCGCAGAAGGTGTACTCCAAAATCGTCGGGGAATCGCCCCTACAGACCATTGGGCCGTGCGAGCGCTCCAGGGCCGACCTCGGCGCGCTGCCTGGGGAGAGCCCTGCTGGGGCTGGCCCCTGGCCCCCCCCCCCGTGGCCCTCGGTGCGGCCGAGGCCTCCTCCTCCTCCTCCTCCTCCTCCTCCTCCTCCTCCTCCTCCTCCTCCTCCTCCTCCTCCTCATGGGGGCCCCTTTACCAGCTTGGAACATATCCCCATCCCTATGCTGGGCACCTTCTCATCACGATGCCAATCTTTAGGGATTCCCTCATTTTCAGAGGGCGAGTCCTCAAGATTGTCATCGCCTTTTGGCGTGTCAATCTCAGGAATAGGGATACGTTCGAGGCTGGTAACCCCTGGCCCCCCCCCCGTGGCCCTCGGTGCGGCCGAGGCCACCACGGGGCCTGCGTGTACAGCGGGTTGAGAGCGTGAATGCCCTCGATCACCAGGATCCCGTTCGCCGGGAGAGCGTCGATGTGGTGCCCCTTCGGCGCCCGGTACCCCGTCTTCATGTCGTAGACCGGCGTCTCCACTGCCTCGCCCTGGGGGGTCGAGGGAGAGAGAGAGAGAGAGGATGGAGGCAGAAGAGGGAGGAGCAGGAAGAGGGAGAGGGTGAGCAGAAGAACGGAGGGGAGTGGGGACGCAGGCAGAGGGAGGAGGGAGGGGGGGAGATTGGGGAGAAGACGAGGGGCGAGATCGCCAGTGTTCAGTCGGGCCTGTCCCCCCACAGGGGGATTTTCGACGAAAAATAAAACATACCTCCGAAATGCGCAAAAAGTAATCCAAAAATAGTCCGGTGATCATTTTCTGAATATTTTTGACCTTCTTAGAATATTTTGGGGGTATGTTTTGTTGTTCGTCGAACATCCCCCTGTAGGGGGACACGCCCGACATAACGCCAGTGCTATGTCTTCCCCTCGTGCCCACGGCTCTGCCACCGCCCTGGCGAGTGGGTCGGGCCGCGCCTGGCCGGGCCGAGGAGCCCCTCCCCCTCGCGGTGGGCCAAACAGGAGCATTACCAGCCTCGAACGTATCCCTATCCCTAAGATTGACACGCCCAAAGGCGATGACAACCTTAGGGATTCGCCCTCAAAGAATAAGGGAATCCCTAAGATTGGCATCGCGATGAGGAGGTGCCCAGCATAGGGATGGGGATATGTTCCAGGCTGGTAAGGAGTAGGGGAACAACAAGTGACATAAACATAACAACGCGGAGGTCCGCGCGGACTTCTCGGATCGGCGCTGGACCCCCCTCCCTGGCGCGCCAGGGGCGCGCCAGGGGCGGCGCCGGAGGCGCCGCCAGGAGGGTCCAGCGCGGATCCGAGAAGTCCGCGCGAACCTCCGAGTTTGTATGTTTATGTCATTCTTCGTTTCCCTCATCGGGAGCGGCCAATGGGGAAGTGTCCAAGAGGGGGGGGTACACACCATCAACAGCGGCATGTGCGCGATCCAGCGGGGGGGCCAGGGACGTAATGAAGCAAGAAGAGGCGCCCTGAAATCTGGGGAAATACCATGGCCCCCGCCACGAGATCCCCCGCCCCCAGTCACCACCCTCCTCTTTGCCGCCCCCGACCCCGGAGGAGGAGGAGGAGGGGGAGGAGGAGGGGGAGGGGAGGAGGAGGAGGAGGAGGAGGAGGAGGAGGAGGAGGAGGAGGAGGAGGAGGAGGAGGAGGAGGAGGAGGAGGACGACGACAGGGGGCTACGCCTTCGGGCCGCGTGCGAGCCCGGCCGGGCCAGGGGGCGCCCGGGAGCAGCTCGCGGCGAGGCGCGGCGAGCGGAGGAGGCCCCGCGGCCCAGCTCCTCCTCCGGAGGAGGCAGCGCTGCGCAGGCACGAGCCCTTCGGAGGCCCGCACCGCGCACGGAGGTCTGGGGTTATGTCGGGCGCGTCCCCCATACAGGGGGATTCTCGACGAAAAATAAAAACAAAAAAAAATACCCCCAAAATACTTCCAAAAGGTCAAAAAGATATTGAAAACTAGTCCCCAGACTATTTTTGGACTATTTTTTTTGTAAAAAAAAACATATGTATATATATATATATATATATATAACAGAAAATACATAAATCGTCGAAAATCCCCCTGTAGGGGGACACGCCCGACTTGAGTCTGGGGTCGGCGCTGGGCCCCCCCTCCGCTGGCTCGTGAAGAAGGCGCGCCGGGAGCGGCGCGGAGCGGCGCCGCCGAGGCCGTCCAGCGCCGGAAGGCACGAAGTCGTCCGAGCGACGATCAGAGACGGGTCTTGCGCGAGATGGCACAGCGACCTTCTGCGCGGCGGCTGGCGCGGGCCGCCCGCGCGGCGTGCCGCAGTGGGGACGAGGGCGCTCACGCGGGCAGCGTACGCGTATGCTGGGACAGGCCCGGGGGCCGATTGGATCCGATCCGATCCGAAGAGGACCTCCTACCGCCTCCTCTTCTTCAGAACTGATTCGAGTCGCGAGTGTGTACCAGCAGCGCTCCGACGAGCGGGCCTTCGCCAGAGCGTTGAGGTGCTGCCCGACGAGCTCCACATCCATGCTCTCGATGTGGTCGTAGTCAACGTCGGAGCGCTGCTGCCTTGGCACGTGGCCATTCCAACCCTGCTCCACCTCACACAATCTCTTCCTCGCTTTGGGTTTGCCAATCGATGTCGGTTTCCTCCGCACTACCGCCCACCTTGCCCTCTTGGCCCCCATCGACCTCAATCTGTGTTCCTCCCTCTCGTACCCATGAACCGTCTCGTTCTTCTCCTCCTCGTTCTCGTCCTCGTCCTCCGCCTCCGCCTCCTCCTTCTCCTTCCCCGTCGTCCCGCGTCCTCCATTCCCCGTCGTCATTAAGAGTCCTCATCATGATGAATCATGATCCCTGTCGCCGTCCTGTTGCTGCCGCTCTTCCTCCTCATCCCGGACCCTTGCCCAAGGTTCCCTGAGGCAGCCAAGCAGGCCCACTCTGGAACAACGAGCTTCTTAGGGGACGATGGGTATGCCAAACAGCGTGGGCCCCAAGCAGTGGTGCTTAGGTATCCGCGTGTAGTGATCTATGTGGTGTAAGCTATGTGATGTAGCCGACGTGGTGCAATCAATGTTGTGCTCCTCGCATGGCGGAGCTGGAAGTTGACATTGACAGCTCTACCCAACCACCCACCCATCCATCCGCAACTCGTTTTGCATAGCCAGTGCGGCGGCGATTGCGTGACTGCTGGGCGCTAGCTGGCGTATCGCTGCGCTTACACTTGCGAGCGCAAACTCGCGCGCAGAGCGGCCTGCCAATTTGGCGCGACCGACGCGGCCACGGTGGCGCTGACCGCTGGGAACTTCCCAACGCGTCTCGCAGGCCGCGCTGACGCGCGGGCACAACCGTGCGAGTTGGTGGCACGGGCGAGCGCGGTGTCATGGTGACGTCGACAGTGGACACGATGATAATAGTAGTGGTGATGGGGCAACGATGGCGATGACGACGGCAAGGCGAATGACGTCGCCGATGCTGGTCACGCTTATGACGATGATGGTGTCCACGTGTCGGTGCGGAAAAACATTCGGACGACTTTGACATGCGCGCGCGGACGACGCGCGCGTGGTCCGCATTTTTTTTGATAGGGCTCGTGCCCCCCATCAACAAGCGCGCAAAGGCGTGCGAATGATTTCGACATGCGCGCGCGGGGGACCCGTGTGGTCTCTTCTGACCAAAGTTGACAGCATGTCGCAAGAACGCGCGCGCAGATTGTCCACAAACTGTGTTTCAAAACCGTGGGTATTTTAGATATGTTCGGGGACTCCGATGTTGATATCCCTACGGCACCTCAAGTGTTTGAAGGACTTCGGCAAGGCCGCGCGTGTGGACTGTGCGCTTCTGTTGCAAAGGATTGTTGAGCATAGATGCGTTGTGATAAACGAGTGCGCGCGCAAACAATTATTTGACAGGAGTGGGAGGGGTCGATGACGGAATTCATTGGGATGGTATGAGCTCATATTCTAAAATGAACCAAGGGGCAATATCGTATGCAAATTGCAATGTCCCAGGGCGCGCCGATCATTCCAGCGGGGATATAATCTATACCCGCCACCGTGCCGTTGCGCACGGAATTGGCGCGTCCGTAGGTCCTTTGCCCAATCCCCTGAGCCTCAGTCCTCACTCCAGAAGAATCCTAAGGAACCCCGGCCCGAATTGCTGGACCACATCGCGTCGGATTAGCGGAGCGCCGCTTCGCTAATTGGCCTCAAGCCATGCGCGCCGACTCCCGGAATGCCCCGCGTCGGAGTAGCGGAGCGCCGCTCCGTTACATTCCGAACTGGCAATCAGGATGCGCCGTAAAGACGCAGGCCCCGTGTAAGCCCGTGTTGAAGCTCATTCGAGCGCGGCTGGCCATCGAATAGACAAGGATGCAATGGTGCTTGGGAAGGTTACCCATCTCTATCACTGGTTTCGACTGCAATGGACCTCGAATCATGCGCGCCGATTCCCGGAGTGCAACGTCGCAAATGTACCTCAAAGCACGCGGATCGAGGAATGCCGAACGTCGGATTAGCGGTTCGCCGCTCCATTGGCCTCCAACCATGCGCGCTGGCTCCTGGAGTGCTCCGATTCGGATTAGCGGAGCGCCGCTCCGCTAATGCGCATCAAAATCTGCGATTCGCGGAGTGCTCTCCGTCGGATTCGCGAAGCGCCACTCCGCTGGGTGGCCTCAAAAAGTGCGTGCCGAAATGGCGATTCCCGAATGCTCTGGGTAGGATTCGCGGGACGCCGCTCCGCTAATTAGCCTCGAATCATTTGCGTCGACATTGCTTGCGTCGCACTACCTCCAGGAGTCCCCCGAAAGACTCCCCGCGATATCACAACGAACATCCACGAGGCCTTGCCCCCAAGAAGCCCCAAGAGGCCCAAAAGAGGTCCCAAGAGGCCCAACAACAGCCACCAAGAGGCCCCCAAACTGCCTCCAAGAGTCCCCCGAGTGGCCTCCCACGAAATCCCAACGAACCTCTAGGCTTGATTCCCACAGCCCAGGCACAGTGCCTAAATGGGCCGAGGGCCATTCGATCCCCTTTAGAAACGAGACTCTGCGTGGTACCGTTGATGACGCGTGCAATCTACGTGGTACAATCTAGGTGGTGTAAGCTCTGTGGTGCAAGCTCTGTGGTGCAATCTGCGTTGTGCAATCTAGCTGCTGCAATCAATGTGGTGCAATCTACGTGGCGCCACATACGCGTTGCAATATGTGTGGTGCAAGCTATCTGGCGTAGTCTATATATATATATATATATATATATATATCGGGCGGCGACGAAGCGGCGACGGCGACAACAAGACGGCGGACCCGACACTGGGGCCCAGGCGACGGGCCGCGACGAGGCGGCGGCGGGACGATCACGGCGACAACAGGGCGTCGGGCCCAGCATTGGAGCCCAGTGCGTTAGAACATGTCGGCCAGCGCGGACCCGAAACGGTGCGTGTTTCTACATTTCCTCCGGCTGGCGCCGCACGTCGGCGGGGACCCCCGCGCATGGCACCAGCGCCGCCGGCGCTGGGCTGTGGGGCGCCGCCGCCCCGCTGTTGGCGGATCCCTGCGGGCAGAGCACTCCTCTCCCTCCCCTGCCCCCCGTCCTCCCCCCCTGTGAGCCTTTCCGTCCCCCCCTCGCGCGTCGCCATGGCTCGGGCCTGCCCAGCTCGGTGCTGCTCCCCTCGTGGGTCGGCGGGGTGCGGGGGTGTAGCACGGTTTCTGCACGGCTTACACAGCTCACGGCACCGGTAGGAATAAGGAAAGGCGACACCAACACCAACAGGGCGAGGAAATGCGAGGAGGCAAGGGGGAATTCCCTGGTGGTGTGGTCCCCCCCTCTCGCTCGAGACATCCCCAGCCTCCAGCTCGGAGAGGCATCGTGGACCTCCTCGCTGGCGGTGGGCCCCCTGGTGGTGTTGGTATCGCTTCTCCTCCCTCCGAACCGGGGGCAATCGAATCCGACGGTCTGATCCAGGTGCGGTCGTACAGCCACGACTGACCCACGGCACCTGATTTCGCTTTGTGAACTCCCCACAGCCAGGGGGAAGCAGAATTCAGCACGCATTCGGAAGGGCGGCACAACTGCCCCCTGCAGCGACGGGAAACCAGAATCTAGCACGTGTTCGGCGGAAGAACCCCATCCGAATGGGCCGCCGAAGGCGGTCCAAGCTGCAGCCCTCGTCGAGTTGCAGCGCCAATTCGTGTCGTTCTCGACATTCGCAGTCGTTCAGCCCATCGCTCCCATAGCTCCCCGACAACGGGGCGGTGACGGAGCGGCGACGGGGGGAACGTAGCCGCCAGACCGACCACACGCCTCAGTCACTTCAAGCACACGCAGGAAGCCCTCAGTGCAAGCACTGGCACTGACTGGGGAACTGAGTGAGAACCCTGACGTTCAAGCACTGTTTGGGGAATCGGGGAGGAGCGGAAGGGCGTGGAACGGGAGGGGCAGAGGGGGAGGGGGGGGCAGAGGGGCGGAGGGAGAGGGACGCAGGGGAGGTGGGGTGTAGCGTGGGGTGTGAAGGTGCAAGCGAGGTTCTTTCAGACTTGCGCTCTCGCCCCCAACACGCGCCACATTCCTGAGGTTGATTCCTTCCTAGTCGCTGCCGTCCTCCTCCTGTGTCCTCCTCCTTGCTTCCCCTTATCATCCTGCTCATCCTACTCCTCCTGCTCCTGCTCCTCCGCTCACCCGCTTCCTCCTCCGCTGTACTGTGACCCCTTCTCCGACTGCGGAGCAAGCGATGGTTCAAATCCTGGAGCTGTCACTTGGGGTCGAGGTCCTCTGGGACACCCCAGATGGCGGATACAAAAAAAGAATTCCCGAAAAGGGAAGGGATGGGTGGGCGGATCCAGGCTCCCTGCCTCCTGGATTCTCCCGGGAAGCTCAATGCGGCACACCCCTCGTGCGCGCCGTGCCCCGCAGACCTCCCGATCCACTCAGCTGGCCCGCAAAGATGGACCCTGGGAGCCTCACCTTGGCAGCCCGTTTTCCTTCCACCAGCCAATCGCTGGGCCGTCAGACTGTGAACGGCCCCTGCCTCGTGCCGTGGCGGACGCACGCCTCCGGCCAGCGGCACTGCTTCGGCCGATGCGTCGTGCAGACACGGCGTCACTGATCGACTGATCACGCACTTCGATTTTTCGATTTACACAGACCTCCGGAGGCTCCCAGCTGGCCCCCGAGGACTGCCGATGGGAGCGGCAACGCGGCACACCCCTCACGGGCTCCGAGACTCCGAGGGGCGCAGAGCCCGTCGGCCGACGCCTCAGGCAGGCTCGACGGGCGCCGCAGTCCGGCACACCCCTGGCGCAGGGCGCGTCTCATGGACCCCGACGGCCCACAAACTCACAGGGACCGCAACGATGACACCGAGGAAAAACGCAACGACCGGTATCGACTCTTGGAGGAGGAGGAGGAGGAGGAGGAGGAGGAGGAGGAGGAGGAGGAGGAGGAGGAGGAGGAGGGGAAGGAGGGGGAGGAGGAGGAGGAGGAGGAGGAGGAGGAGGAGGGAGGAGGGAGGAGGAGGAGAGGAGGAGGTGGAGGAGAGGAGGGAGGAGGATGAGGAGGAGGAGGAGGAGAAGGAGGAGGGGGAGGAGGAGGAGTGGGAGGGGTAGGAGTGGGAGGAGGACGGGGAGGGGGAGGAGTCGAAACCATACCTCGCAACCGGTTACAAAACTTGCGCGATAACTTCCCACCGTGAACCCACCGCCCAGCGGGTTGAATAATTGCATAACCCGTGGTGCTTGAATTGGCTCGGGCATGTCCCTCTACAGGAGGGTAGAGTCAGATCAAGCCAACAAATAGTCGGTTGATGCTTTTTTAAAGTTTTTGATCATTTGGGATACGGTTTGACTCTGTTCATTTGTCTCAGAAGATCCGCCTGTAGGAGGACATGCCCGACCTAATGCTTGAATGAGTTTGATACATTGGGGCCATGGTTGGGAAGCGTTTGGCCGAATTTGGCTCCGATGTGGCCTCCTATGGCTCGATATGTCACCCCAGATAGCGTCAGGTGCTCCAAGATAGCCTAGCCTCTCGCACCCCTCCAATAGGCCCCGAGACGGCTCCATGTCGGCTCGAGGTGGCCTCGGAGCGTCCGAAGGACCGCTCGGAAAGGGTGACATCGCCCACCCTCGCTTCGCATTTCCTTGTGTCCAATTCGCCTCAAGATGGCTCCAAAGTTGCACATCAGAGCCTCGAGAAGGACCATATATATATATATATATAAAAATGGTTCACTCCTAAATCTGCTCAAACTGACCACGGCGAATTTCGGTTTGATGACCTCCCTCAACCGTGTTCCACGGCATGCTCACGCACGCACGCACACACACACACACACACACTCCAGGGGCGGGGACCTCCCCAGGCAGCCGTCGCACGCCCGACCGCGATCTGCCCGGCCGCCCCGCGCCGGCCCCTCGGTGGGGGCAGACTCTGCCGCGGGCCTCAGCTGGTACTTGGGCTGCCTGTCCTCGGGGCGAACTGTGCGCGTGCCCTTCTCCCCTCCGCCCTGCTCGAACGCATGACCCCCACCAGGAGAGCCCAGAATCGAATCGATAAGTCGGATCGGCGATCGCATTGAATCAGATCGGCGGACATCGGAAGGCCAACATGCCCCCAATGAGAGATCGGAACCCAAATCGGAATCCCAAGTCGAATCGAATCGGAATCGGAAGCCATCGAAGTCGAATCGACTCGAATCGGAGGAATCGAAACGAGCCCTGCCCCACCCCCGCCCCCCGCATGAGAGGAGCATTGGACCAACCAGACCGCGCGCGCGCGCGGGCACCCCCCCCTGCGGCAGCTGGCAGTGGCCTCGCCTACAGGGCGCCTGCGCTTCCGCACATTCGCCATCATCGCAACGCGTTGACACGCAAAATCCATTGCTGTGGGGGCTGGAGTCGGCTTCCAGAGGCCGTGGATGGAGTCGAAGCAGATGGGGTCAAAGGATCGCGCCGCATCGCCGATGCATCGCCGATGCATCGGCGACGCGGCGCGATCCTTCGACCCCATCTACTCCGACCCCATCTAGGATTAAGTCGGGCCTGTCCTCCTACAGGGGAATGTTGGGCGAAAAACCAAAGATACTCAAAATGTTCCCTCCAAATGGTCAAACAATAGCCCAACAAAATAGTACCCAGACTATCTTTTTGACTATTTTTGAACATCCCTCCTGTAGAGGGACAGGCCCGACTTAAATCTAGGAGTAGGGGGCCACGTGCGAACCCTACCCCTACCCCCCACGATTTCTGAGAGGGAGGGTGGGGTTCACTTCGTGCGGGAGCTCCCGCACGAAATGAACCCCACGCTCCCCCTGAGAAATCGTGGGGGGTTACGGGTAGGGTCTTAGTGGGCCCAAGAAACGGCAAGGCCGTTTTTTCCCGTTTCCGAAAAAGTGTCCATTGAAAATGGGAACGGCAAAAAAACGGCGGCAAACAAACGACTCCAGGATTGGAACCGGAGCCAGAACCGGTAAAATTATCCCGGCAAAGCAACCTAACAGCGATGTGTAGGAGCATATCTGGAAGCATTCCCCTTAAGATTCGGATGATAATCCAGGTAGAATTCCGCTGTTCTCGCAGTCGTAGTCGCATTCGCGATGACAGTCGCAGTGGCAACGGCAGTCGCAGTCACAGCCTCAGTCTCAGCCTGCCTCAGCCTCAGCCTCAGCCTGCCTCAGCCTCAGCCTGCCTCAGCCTCAGCCTCAGCCTGCTTCAGCCTCAGCCTCAGTCTGCCTTCAGCCTCGGCCTCAGCCTCAGCCTGCCTCAGCCTCAGCCTGCATCAGCCTCAGCCTCAGCCTCAGCCTGCCTCAGCATCAGCCTGCCTCAGCCTCAGCCTCAGCCTGCCTCAGCCTCAGCCTCAGCCTGCTTCAGCCTCAGCCTCAGTCTGCCTTCAGCCTCGGCCTCAGCCTCAGCCTGCCTCAGCCTCAGCCTGCATCAGCCTCAGCCTCAGCCTCAGCCTGCCTCAGCATCAGCCTGCTTCAGCCTCAGCCTCAGTCTGCCTTCAGCCTCGGCCTCAGCCTCAGCCTGCCTCAGCCTCAGCCTGCATCAGCCTCAGCCTCAGCCTCAGCCTGCCTCAGCATCAGCCTGCCTCAGCCTCAGCCTCAGCCTGCCTCAGCCTCAGCCTCAGCCTGCTTCAGCCTCAGCCTCAGTCTGCCTTCAGCCTCGGCCTCAGCCTGCCTGCCTCAGCCTCAGCCTGCCTCAGCCTCAGCCTGCATCAAGCCTCAGCCTCAGCCTCAGCCTCAGCCTCATCAGCCTGCCTCAGCCTCAGCCTCAGCCTGCCTCCTCTACCTCAGCCTCAGCCTGCTTCAGCCTCAGCCTCAGTCTGCCTTCAGCCTCGGCCTCAGCCTCAGCCTGCCTCAGCCTCAGCCTGCATCAGCCTCAGCCTCAGCCTCAGCCTGCCTCAGCATCAGCCTGCCTCAGCCTCAGCCTCTGCCTGCCTCTGCCTCAGCCTCAGCCTGCTTCAGCCTCAGCCTCAATCTGCCTTCAGCCTCGGCCTCAGCCTCCGCCTGCCTCAGCATACAGCCTCCTCAGCCTGCATCGCCTCAGCCTCAGCCTCAGCCTGCCTCAGCATCAGCCTCCTGTCTCGCATCAGCCTGCCTTCGTGCCTCAGCCTCAGCCTCAGCCTCAGCCTGCCTCAGCCTCAGCCTCAGCCTGCTTCAGCCTCAGCCTCAGTCCGCCTTCAGCCTCGGCCTCAGCCTCAGCCTGCCTCAGCCTCAGCCTGCATCAGCCTCAGCCTCAGCCTCAGCCTGCCTCAGCATCAGCCTGCCTCAGCCTCAGCCTCAGCATGCCTCTGCCTCAGCCTCAGCCTGCTTCAGCCTCAGCCTCAGTCTGCCTTCAGCCTCGGCCTCAGCCTCAACCTGCCTCAGCCTCAGCCTGCCTCAGCCTCAGCCTCAGCCTGCCTCAGCATTCAAAATGTGGCCCGGGAATGGAATTCTGGGAACTCGAAAAACACGAAGTGGCCTACAGTTGGCTCCGGGCATTCAAAATCATGCCCAGGAATGGAGTTCTGGGAACTCGAAGACCACGAAGTGGCCTACAGTTGGCTCCGGGCATTCAAAATGTGGCCCGGGAATGGAGTTCTGGGAAGTCGAAGAGCACGAAGTGGCCTACAGTTGGCTCCGGGCATTCAGAATGTGGCCCGGGAATGGAGTTATGGGAAGTCGAAGAACACGAAGTGGCCTACAGTTGGCTCCGGGCATCCAAAATGTGGCCCGGGAATGGAGTTCTGGGAAGTCGAAGAGCACGAAGTGGCCTACAGTTGGCTCCGGGCATCCAAAATGTGGCCCGGGAATGGAGTTCTGGGAAGTCGAAGAGCACGAAGTGGCCTACAGTTTGCTCCGGGCATCCAAAATGTGGCCCGGGAATGGAGTTCTGGGAAGTCGAAGAGCACGAAGTGGCCTACAGTTGGCTCCGGGCATCCAAAATGTGGCCCGGGAATGGAGTTCTGGGAAGTCGAAGAGCACGAAGTGGCTTACAGTTGGCTCCAGGCATTCAGAATGTGGCCCGGGAATGGAGTTCTGGGAGGTCGAAGAGCACGAAGTGTGTGACTGTTTGCGAAAAGCGCATTCGGACACGAGTTCGGACACAGCTCCCCGGATGCCGCCCCGACCCCCCTGTGGAGTCATCTGCTGCTCTCTTTTGACACCGCTAGAAACCTATCAGTCTTCGCTGTTAGGTAAAAACGGCGACGGAACCGGTAAACGAACGGCGTCGGATCCGGCAGAAAACGGCAACAAGGGACCGGTGAAAAAAAGGCCCTGTCGTTTCCAGCACTAAGGGTAGGGTTCGCACGTGGCCCCCTAAAGAAGCCCAGAGTTTCCCACTGCTCCCTGCTGCTCCGCCCCCTACTCCTAGATTTAAGTCGGGCCTGTCCCTCTACAGGAGGGATGTTCAAACATAATCAAAAGATAGTCCGGAGACTATTTTTGTTGGGCTATTGTTTGGCCATTTGGGGGGCATATTTTGAGTATCTTTTGTTTCTCGCCCAACATCCCCCTGTGGGAGGACAGGCCCGACTTAATCCTAGATGGGGTCGGGGTTTCCCACTGCTCCCTGCTGCTCCTTCGGGGATCTTCTGACCCGGGTCAATCCAGACCCAGGTCAGCAGGAAACCAAAAACTGCAATGCAGGAACAAAAAACTGCAACACAGGTCTTTGCAAACCCGGGTCAGCCAATATGCGCGGCCGCCTCGCGGCCACGAGCGGCTCGCTCACCCGGGTCAGCCAGAGGGGGTCTTCGCAGCATCCTGCAGGATCTGGTGCCCTGGCGGACCCCCGTTTGCGCTGACCCCCGTCTCAAGGCTCCCTGCTGCTCCTCCGCCACCGCCGCCCCCCGCGCGGAGCGCTGCAGGGCCCGGCCTGCGCAGGGCCAGCCCCGCTCGCGCCCGCGACGCGCGGGCGCGCTGGGGGGGGGGGGGGGTTCAGCGCCGCGCGGAGCCTGCCCCGGAGCGCGCGGGGCTCGAAGCATCGGCCAGTTCTCTGGGGGACAGGAGGTGGACAGCAGGCACACACACATACATATATATATATATATATGTATGAGGAGTGAGATATATTCGTGTAAACATATATATATATACACACACACGTGTATATATATGTAGAAATATAGACAGGTGAACAAAACATATATATATATATACACACATACATATCTGATATAATATCGGAAGCGGCCAAGAGGGGGGTGTCCAAGGGGGGGGTGCAAATCATGCCCCGCGGCATGTGCGCGGCCCAGCGGGGGGGCCAGGGACGTGATGAAAGAAGACGAGGCGCCATGAAGTCTGGAGAGCTATCATGGCCCCCGCCATCATAGCCACCCCCCGTAGTCAGCACCCCCCTCTTTGCAACCCCCGATAATACACACACGCACACACACTGCGTTTGGGCCGGCAATTGCCGCTGAGCGGTGGACAAGCGCGACATCGGACAGCGGGCACTTTCTGGCAGCTTCCCGGTCACGGGTGAGCGACGATCACAAACACGGGCCCTAGGCTTATGTCGGGCCTGTCCCCCTACAGGGGGATTTTCGACGAAACATTGAAAATACCTTAAAATACCCCAAGAAGGTCCAAAACATACTAAAAAAATAGTCCCCAGGCTATTTTTAGACAATTTGTTGACTATTTTAGGGGGTATGTTTTATTGGGCGCCCGAATTATCCGGGGTAACTCGGGTCTGGGGTAATTCGGGTTTGGATTCCCGAAAAAAAAAGAACCCGAGTTAGCCCTCACCCGAGTTACCCCTGATGATTCGGGGCTCTGGACGCCCGAAAAATCAGGGGTAACTCGGGTCCGGGGTAACTCGGGTTTGGATTCCCGAAAAACGAACCCGAGTTATCCCTGACCCGAGTTCCCCCTGTGTCGTCGAAAACCCCCCTGTAGGGGGACAGGCCCGACTTACTCTTCGGCGAGAGGAGGCAGCGGCCCTGCGCGGCGGCCCTGCGCGGGGGGGCCGCCGCCGCGGCACGCCGCCCCGGGAGACGGGGCAAGGGCGCTTGCGCGCGACCCTCGGCGGACAGCTTACTGCCAGCCTGGAACATACGGTAGAGGGAAACAATTACTGAACACTCCCCTTCCCCCCAAACTCAACGTTGGCACGCGCGGGGGAGACTGCGGTCGAAGTGCATCTCATCAGACCCACCGCCAACTTTGAACATTGGGGGGAGGGGGAGGCGTTGACAGAGAAATGTGGCATGTGTTCGCTAATTTGTTCCGAGGCCTGTATCCACCTCCTCATCACGATGCGAATCCTAGGGATTCCCTTTTTTTTTAGGGGGCGAGTCCCTGAGACTGTCCTCGCCTTTGGGCGTGTCAATCTCTTAGGGATAGGGATATGTTCGAGGCTGGTATAAGCTTGCGCGCCCACGTCGGCGCAGACGGCCCCCTGCTCTTGCGCTACTCCCGTGGCGCTCGACCTCGACGGCTCGCGCTGAGGTCGCCGACGCGTCGTCAGGCTCGGAGTCCACTCACAGTATGGGCAGGCGAGCTTTTGAAGCGGCCGACCGCCAGCAGCTCGTTCGCGTGGACTTTGCCGGACATCGCCCACTACACACATGAACTTGCTCGCCCAGCGATCGCGAATCTTGCTGCGAAACTGGGCGTGGCAGCGTCTGGCCAGAGTCTAAGCGGCTAGACGCCAAACCAGGAGGACCCCTGCCTAGCTCGCTGACCGAACAACCGTTGTCAAAGCGTCAAGAACCAACTTCGGACAGGTCCCCCCCTCCCCATCCCCCATCCGCTGGTGTCTGAGAAGGAGGCGCGAGGTGTCAGCGCGTCCATTCTGGCCCAGGATGGCTTCAAGCGGGCCCCACATAGGCCAAGCTGGCCTCCAACATCGAAGAATACGATGTGACTTGATTCGATCTGGTCTTCTACATGACCCCCAGGATGCCCCAGGCATCCACGTGACAGCCCGAGGTAGCCGCGGACCCCCCCCCAAACGATTTCGAGCCATATGTATGTTGTCCAATATAACTGTGTTGCCTTTCAATGTTGGCTGAGCTTCGGGCGACTCAAGATGGTTCCGCGATGACCCAAAGAAGGCCCAGACTCTAACGTGTCCCGATAGCGCTTCGAATTCCCCCCCAGAAGCGTCCCAGGAGGCATGCGATAGGTTGTCTTCTAGGCTTTAGAAGGGGATCGTAAGCTAGGACAGCCTCTGTTTGATCGATTGCATCCAGGATTGCTCCAAGAGGTTCCGAAAAAAGGATCCCACTAGCTCCCCCAGAGAGCCCCAGGAGGCTCGTTCCAAAGAAGCCCTTAGCTTGGTCGACGGCCCGGGAATCCTTTCTGGAGGGGTTGTTGGAGATACGCGGCGGTGCGTCAAAGATTTCGCAACACCTCGCAAGAGCGACAATGAATGAAGCGGTAGCTTGCCAGATTCACGCGAAACGTTCAAGAGCGTAGTTAACTTTGGCCGCGAAGTTGAGATTGCCATTACAACGAAAACGCAACTTGGGCTTCGCAATGCGTATTCACTCTGCCATCGGCTTACCCAACGAGGCTTGTCGGCAACTGCAACGTCCTCCCTGTGGTTGGTCTATAAAGCAGGGCGGTATCTTAACTACCCTTGAGTATTCCCCAAACCATCTGTCTTTTTGTTCTCCTCCTGCTCCCCCTCCTCCTCCTCCCCCTCACCCTCCTCCTCCTCCTCCTCCTCCTCCTCCTCCTCCACATCTTCGATTATTGCTGCCCTGGTGTCCAGGGGCAAGTAGTAGTGGTCCACAGTCAGCGGCTTAGCGACGTAACCGCAATTCTGCAAATACATGCAGAGCTTGTTGGCAAAGGTCGTCTTGCCAGACGACGTGGGCCCCGCGATGCAGATGATCTTCACCGCGCGTTCTTCCTTCTGCCGGTCCTGCACCATCCTGGAGAGGGCGAAAGGTATGTAGAGACCTCCTACATGGTGACGGACTAGATGGGGTCGAAAGATCGATCCGCATCGCCGATACATCGGAGATGCATCCGTGATGCATCAGCGGTGCATCGACGTTGCACCAGCGATGCATCGTCGACGTCGGCGGTGTATCGGCGACGTCGGCGTGAAGCAAATCGGGCTCGGCATCGAGCCGCATCGGCGATGCATCGGCGATGCGGCGCGATCCTCTGACCCCATCTGCTCCGATCGGGGATGGACAGAACCCCCTTTTAATCAAACGCGGTTTAGTGACAACGACCTCGGGCCCAAACCTGGCGGGCGCAAGCCTAGGAAATGACGGCCGCGGCGCCCTCTCGAGGACCGAACACGGACAATTCACTTACCTGGCGGGCGCAAGCCTAGGAAATGACGGCCGCGGCGCCCTCTCGAGGACCGAACACGGACAATTCACTTATCGGCGTGTCAAGGTGGGGACCCTGTCCACCCCCGATCCGACCCCAGGAAGGAGACCGAGGGCTATGTCGGGCGTGTCCCCCAACAGAGGGAGTTTCGACAAAAAAAAAACGGTACCCCAAACATACACCAAAAAGGTCAAACAATACTCAAACAATAAACCCAGACTATGTTTGGACTATTGTTTGACTATTGTTGGGGTATCTTGTATTCTTCGTCGAAAATCCCCCTGTAGGGTGACAGGCCCTGGAGTGTGACAGGCCTAGGGTATGAGGGCTGAGGATGAAGGAACGGAAGAGGACGAGAAAAAAAAGGACGAGGCAGGGAGCTAGGGCTCCCAACTTCGCGCTTCGCGCTCCGCGAAGCGTGACGCGCGCATAACTTCGCGCTCTCGCGCCGCCCCCCCCGGAGGGAGAAGAGGAGGACGAGGAGGAGGGGGAGAAGGAGCGAGGACCGCGAAGCGCGAAGCGCGAGTGACTTCGCGCCCTCGAGGGCGCGAAGTCACGGCCACGACAACCAGCAACACAAGTCTGCGGGTCTCCGCCTGCCCGTGGTGCGCAGACGTCCGAGACGGACCGGTTGCCCCGCAGCCCCCGCGGCCCCCTCCACGGAGGCCCAAACTCCTGCTTGAGAGGCCTCCACGGAGGCCCAAAATCCTGTTTGAGAGGCCGTGAGCGTTTCTTTATTCAAGGGCTCCCAACTTCGCGCTTCGCGCCGCGCGAAGCGCGTATAA